GTCGCTGCAAGAGCTCACGATTCGACTGCCGCAGACTACTCGCCGTCGCCTCCGCGTTCCGAGAGCTCTCAGCCGCCCGCTCGGCCTCCTCCTGTGCGTCCCGAGAAGTGTTCAGCGCCTGCTCAACGTCGTCCTGGTCGACCAGGTCGCGTCGAATTCCACCGCGACGGTCCTCCGCCCATCGTTGACTCGAATGGAGATACGTGCTGGATTGTGGACCGTGTTGTTGAACACGAAGATCATCCCCGCGTGCGTCACTCGACCAAGTCGTCGGCTCAACACGCGGCTCCCGCCGCTCGGAAGTATAAGGTACGATGGATCGGGTTTCAACCTGCTGATGATACGTGGGAGCCTCGCGCCAATTTGCTTCGTGACGTTCCTAATGTCGTCCACGACTACGACTCCAGCCTCGAGTCAAACGCGGTCGCGATCGACTACGTGCCCTTCGAGACGTCGAATGCGCAGGAGACGGGCTCCGTCGCGAACGCTGTCGGCGCGAGCCGCCGCGAATAGCCGCTTGGGTGAACTCGGAGAGTGAGCGCTTATACTTCTCGATCCAAGCGTGTTCGGTCGGCATGAGCGGATACTCGACAATATGCTGATCCCACTCAGCTTGCGTCGGGCGTCGCCCGATGTCACACGAACTGCAACCTTCGCGTACGTTGACATAGCACAAACGGTCTTCGGTCCAAGCGTCGTCGCAGACCAAGCGTCTTCGCAGACTTTCAGGCGCAGATCACCGAGTGAATGCTCGGCTTGTAGGGCTTCGCGATCACCGAGCCAGCCGACGACACTTTCTCCAGCCTCATGCATCCGATTCCACCGTCGGATGAATGCGCACCATGATCTCTGCAAAGCTTCGTACGTCGCGCCGTCGAGTGTTTTGTTCCGGAGACGCCTGAAGCGCCGAAAGTGGTCCTGCATGGTGTCCAACGCGTCCGGGGCCACCGCCCCGGACAAGTCGTACAGCGCCCACGGCTTCATATCCTCGTTCATTACGCCGGGCCGAACCCCAAGTCGACTCACGCTCTCAGGTGCGATATCAGCGGTCCACCCACTGTTCAGCGTCGTCTCCGACGCTGGAGCCGTCCGCGTTGTTCCGCTTCCTGCCTGGTTCGCCGCCCCCGTCTGCTGCGCCATGTTGTTCTCGTCCGCGCAAGTTGTATTGTACTGCTCCTGGGCTTCGCAGGAGCTTCCGCCCGTCAAGTTCTCAAGCGTTCTCTTCTCCGCCATTTCCCAGTTTTTCCCGATTGTTCTCCGAAGCGCACCCCCGTTAGGTGATTGCTGTCTTAAGAGGGGGGTGATGTAATGGGCTCTCCCAAGTTACATATGTAGGTAGTTTTATAGGTTCTTTGTAGTGGTTCACACCATTACATAAGTAGGTAGATTTGCATTACAAAAGTAGGTTCAGCAGCACACGAGTGCTGAACTGCCGTCACCTTATTGGTTGAAATATGGGGAGCCAGACCCATAATCAACCAATAAGGAGTTGACGTGTATTTGAGTGGTCAGGGCAAGCTGCCCTGGACCTAAATAAAAACAGAGTTGTTTTTCCTTCAGACTAAGTACTTGGTTTCAGTATCACTGGACTTGTACGCTTCCTCATCACTACGTGTAAGCAAGTAACGGACACCCCAGGCCCGTTACACAATGGTTGGCTTTGAACGACCTTGGTACTTTGTACCAAATATTCCGAAGTATGACGTGTCATACTTCTGAAGTGTGAGGTGTCACACTTCATGTAACCAGGGTACAGTTAGGGCTACGTACCCGGCTACAAACTTCCACCCCGTCACAGTTAGGGCCGTTCCGAACCGGGGGTAGGGTAAATGCTTCACGGCTAGAACGGGTCGCGATCCTGCCGTTCCGAGCCAGATCGCGCTCCAAACGATTTTGTACCACCAATCTGGTACATCTTGATGGCAGAAGTTGCCGCACAGAACTACAAAATGACGGACGCACCAAGCTTGAAATGGACTGTGGCGGAGCCGCAGACAGCGCGCAAGCGACTTACCATCGCGCCAACGTCAGACAACTATAACGACTGGACTCTCGAGCAGATCAAGATGGAGTGCACGGCCCGCAAACTGAACGTCGTGAAAAATACATGCAAGGGAGACCGTGTGAAACTTCTTAAGGCATGGGATACAAACAAAGAAGGTGTCGAGGTGCTGGTTCGTCAACAGCGCAAACGATCAAAAGGTCAACGCGAAGAGGAGGCAAAGAGGACGAAAGGCTGCATGTTCCGCCTCCTAAACATCCTGTTCTCCGACAACTTCTTCACCTCATTCTTGGAGACCGGCCATCAACTCCGCAGGGATGAGCTGGACCAGGGCGGCTCGACCTTCTGGATCGACGTTGCCAACGCCTTCAGTACCGACAACGGCGAGTACGATGCATTGATCTCCGACGACGGAGTGTTCGAAGACGTGGATGCTTCATGTGTGACTTCACATTCGGCTGCTAAGTTACAAAGGATGTGGAAGGAGGTGAGCAGCAACTTTGCACGTGCTGAGGCCGGGTCCAAAACCTCTGGACAAAACAGCCACGACTTCTGGGAGTTTTGCAATGGGCGTGCTGATGTCTACTACTTGGATCGGTGGTGCGAGCATCGTCAGTCTGGACGGGAGTTCTATGTCGCCAACGTGTACTCCGACGACGAAGATGATTCAACCAAAGAAAGCGACGGACACAAGTCCAAGAAAGAAAATAGAAAGAAGCGCAAAAGATTTCAACCAGACATGGTGGCCGCGCTTATAGAGACCGTGAATGAATTGCTAGAGAGCGAGTCCAGTAAAACGCAAGAAGACACATGGGTGGAGCAAAAACTTTTACTTCAAGAGAAACGAGCTGCTCAAAAGCTGGTGACACTGACGGCTATCCTGGAGCGCAACGTTGCAGCTATTCACGAATTAAAGCAGCTACGTGAACAGTACGTTCAACAAGGAATTAATGCAGACGAACTTGGAAAAGCTCTAGCCGTGTGCACCGAGAGGAAGCTGATACTAGAAGAGCAGATTGATCAGCTGGAGTTGGATGTTTTGAATCGCTTTTAGCAGCAGCAGTCTGCTCTTTCGGTAGCCGCTAGTGCACACGAGGACGTCGAAGATTGAAATTTTGAATGTGACTCACGAGAACTTGTCGGAGGATTCGGCCTTGTGCGTCACTACGTAAACCATCCGCGTCATTGAAGTTGTCGGTAGGCTGGTAAGAGCTCTCGGTGAGGTTGTGATACTCCGTCGATACCGTGCGTAGGTTTGCTGTCGTGTCGTCGCTCTTGAGTCGCTCGTTGATGCAGAAGTTATGAAGCTTAATACACGTTTTAATTACTTTGCCAACGTTCGTGAAATCAACTACAAGTGGTCGCGAAAATATTTGCCATTTGTTCACTAACAGCCCAAAAGACATTTCAATGCGAATGCGCAGTTGACTTAGAAAGAAGTTGAAGTCAGAGTACGCTTTGCCTTTGAGCTCCAGCTTCGTGAACGGCACCAACAAGGAGTTTGATAGTGGATAGGCATTGTTGCCGACGATGTAAAATCCAGGAGGTAACTTAAGTATATCATTTCTTAGGCTCCACTTCTTGAACGCAATTGAGTCTCCAACCTTTCCAGGAGAATTAAAACAATACCCGGTAAAACGGCAGTGGGCGTCACAAATGGCCTGTACATTCAAGCCATACATTTGATAATGCCCTGAGAAGAATGCTGCAACATCTGGCACCTCGCTCGCACTCGGGGCCCTTATTTGACAAAGCCACCCATCGATACAGCCAACACATCCACTCAAGATCCCGTCCGTGCTAATCTTGGCAAAGCTGTCAGCTAGAAGATGGACACGCTGCTCGGACGACACGGGAGATTGAATGCGAAGCTCTGGGCAGTCACAAACTGCGTTCATGACATCGTGAAATACATCATATGTAACGGAAACAGACGTGCCACCTAAGCAGCGAATTGTGTGATATCTGCTACCGGCTAGCCAAGCAATCGTCATTTGCAGCATGTTCTCCGGCGAGATTGGATCTGTAGCAGTACGCCGAGAAGACTGGAGCTCATCGCGCGATATAGACGGCCGAATTAACATCAACAGACGCTCAAAGGAGTCCACACTCATTCTGTAACAACGCTTAAATTGACCTTCCAGCAGTGATGTCTGCTTGTGGACATTCCAGTTTAAGCGTCGGCGCTTTATACACCCTCTCGGTTCTGCTGGGTAAATGGCAGCAGTGGTAACAAGTAGTGCTATTAGATACCGGCGACGTACACGGGACGATGTCTCGCCTTCCATCCTGCTTGTAGCGATCATCTGTGCGTTTGCCGCGCCTCTGCGATCCCGCGATCCCGGCCGGCGCGCGATCTGTGCATTGATGCAGTAATCACAAAAGTTGCACTTCAGGTCAGCCAATCACAGGCTTATCCTCGGGGCGCGCCCACGGCCCTTAGAATACTCTAGATTAGAATTACCTAGATTAGAATACATGTATCCTACTGTAGTTTATCGTCACATTAATAGTGTGGCTTGTGGAAGTTTTTTCTTCTTAAAATACAAATATTCTAAAATATATATATATTTCATTCTCATGATAGTTATTAATACGTCGGTCTTTTTTGGCAACAGTTCCTCGATCAGTCTTCTCCGAATGCTGCAAATTTTGCGGCGATGTCGCAGATCAGCATCCAATAAAACGTGCACCACCATATTGTCAAAATCGTGCATCGCGACCATCGACCATCGCAGCCATGGTCACCACCAGCAGTCGACCTCACCACTAGATGATCATCCACCCGATGCATGCGGCACAAACTCTGCACCGACATTCATCAAGCCGAGCTACGTATGTCCATGCTTTTCCTCTGTTGCTTTAGTAGGATTCCTAGCTCATCCTTCGGCAAGGACCCATCGTGTTCCCCATACGTCGGCGTGTCACTGACGACGAGACAGATTCGCGTCGTTGTCTTGCACGCATGCGTGTGAGGAGCCACACGTTCACTTCAGAAATGGCTCCTGAACCGTTGACCAGCGTCGCCGTCGTAGTCCGCTCGCGGCCCGGAATAGCAGAGCTCACACATGTGACGGATACATTGTCGGCCTACCTCGACTACTCGTCGAGTCTGCCATTAGCTCGAGCCTGTGCCTTGAGCTCCGTGTCGCTACCACGGAGAGTGTGGGACATCAGCAAGTCTGCAGAGACCGTTGTGGATCCGTGGTGCCAGCCCACGAATAGCTGGTGTCCATCCAGAATGCTTTGGAGCAATCAGTTCTACTATCAAGACCAGTTCTCCAAAGGAATAGTCGAAGCTTGCAAACATGCAGACGTGGGCACAGTACAGTGGCTGGTGGATCACTTCGCAGGCTGTATAGTGCCACCTGAAGCTGTAGAGGCAATAGCTCAACGAGACAAGCGAGAAATTCTTCAATTATTACTAAAAGTTCACGAAGAGCACAAGAAGACGTCGATGCCTGGTGCTCGTATCCAGGCCGCAAAAAAGCCTCACCAAGTTAAATTCTGGGAGAGCAATGCCCTCGTTGCTGCAGCGACGGGGGGACACGGAGATCTGGTACTGTGGCTCTACAGAGAGGTGTTCCACGGCTTCTACATGCAGAGTAACCAGGAAGTGATGGATGAACTCGCACGTCACGGAGATGTAGACGCAGTGCGATGGCTGGTATCCGAAGGGTGGCAGCCTCCTCGTCTCTACTTTGCAGCCGAAGGAGGCAACATCGCTATGGTACAGTGGCTCTTAACTCAGAGTCGCGACGCTGGTAAGCAATGGGCGCTCAAGAACGCGGCCGCTCAGGGTCATCTGGAGATCGTGAAGCTGCTTGTAAGTGAAGGCATGGTGTATCTTGATGGCGAGGCATTCTACGATGCAGCAGCAAACGGCCACTTGTCGGTAGTGCAGTGGCTAAAAGAGAGCAATCTGGGCTTGAAGATGGCGTATAAAGCTATGGATTTGGCAGCAACCAACGGACACTTGGAAGTTATGCAATATCTGCATAGCAACTGCTTGGCTACTTGTACGCACCACACGATGCGTAAAGCGGCGAGTAATGGCCACCTGCACATTGTCACGTGGCTTCACCTGCAATTCAGAGGTCACTCCAGCATCGACTTGTATGCGGCTGGATCCAAGCAGCAATTCAACACGACAGTGATGGATATTGCCGCGATGAATGGCCATCTCCATGTGATGGAATACTTGCATAGCTCTGCGATAACGATGGATACACTCGCCACGGATGACGAGGAAATACTCGAGAAAACAGTCCCAATATGCACATCTGCGTCGGTCCAGTTTGCTGCTGCTGGCGGCCATCTTGAAGTGCTGAAATGGCTTCATGAGAATTGCTGGACGGAGCCTTCTGTAGACATCATGGACGTTGCAGCAGCCAGTGGCAATCTGGAGTTAGTCAAGTGGCTCCACGAACATGCTGCGGCTAAGTTCTCGACGGCAGCCATGGATGGTGCTGCCAAGGAAGGTCATCTGGCTGCGGTCAAGTGGCTGCATGACAACTCACCTGAAGGATGCACAGTCAGAGCAATAGATGAGGCGGCCGCTATGGGCCATCTAGATGTCGTGCAGTGGCTCAGTAAGAATCGAAGCGAGGACTGTTCCACCAAAGCTCTGGACGGTGCAACGAGTGGAGATCACTTTGATGTGGCGCTGCTTCTGACTGTAAGATATCCCGATCTTGGTGACAACGCGGATCTCGAGTTCATAGACAACAATTATATCAGAGAGTGGAGTATCCCACACACCGCTAGTTTTACGGTGTGTAGTGTGCATCGCTGCGCGCTTGCTACTTTAATTGTGGGAAATGGTCCACATTATGGGAGGGATGTCCCGCAGTTAAATATCCTTGTCGGGAAGAGTATAAACTTCCTACTCATCGAATCCCTGAGTATGAAAGCTTTAAAACCAAGCAGGACACAGCGCGATTCGATCCGGAGCAAGTAATGCCCTGTGGCAGACTGCCACTGGCAGTCAGCCTGCGACGTAAGGCGCTACACTCCGTCTGGGTGCCTGGCGTCCATCAAAATAAATATTGTGATCATGCACTTGGCTGGCGTGCTGTATCAAATAGGGATGCTTCCACCATCTAAAATCTCACCATCTCAAGCATTTTTCACAAAAAAATATCGAGCCAATGACCAAGTCTTCTGCCTGAAGGTTCAGGACGGGAGCTACTCAGACTTCCGGACACATGAGGACTCATTGCTCAGTGCCATTCTGCGACTTTCCATCCGAGCAAAGCGCAAATTATTCTAGCAAAGCAATGTCACCCCGTGCCGTCTTCCTTCCGGCCGAGTGGATCTTTCACTGCCTTGCTCGCCTCGATCTCCATTTTCAAATTTGAACGCTAAGCACGATTCCTCTCCTCCTTCGTCGAGTCACTCGGCCGTCTCGCCTTCCCGGCTGAAAGCTCGGACTGCAATGGGTTCCTCCTCTACACTTGTGACGCTACTTCACTTGGCGACGGCCGCCATCCAGATCGGCATGAACCTGAGTCCAGCCCCAGACATGTACCGGGTGCACAAGTTCAAGACGACCGGGCAAATGGCGCTGCTCCCTCTAGTGCTCATGTGCTTCAACAACCACTTGTGGCTGCTCTACGGACTCCTGACCGGCAGCTACTTCCCGTTGTGCGCTGCGGCGCTGGTCGGAGAGACCGCCGGGATCGTCTTCACGAGCGTCTACTACCGCTACGCACGCAACACACTGGAGACCCGTCGGACCTGCGGCGCTGCGCTCTTCGGTATGGCGCTGGTTACGCTGTATGTGTTGCTTGGCGTCACTGTCAAGACGGGGCAGTCATTCGATCAAGTGGTGCAGTCACTGGGCTACGTCGGTGCCAGTATCAATATCTGTCTGTACGCGTCGCCATTGGCAACGATTAAGGTGGTCCTGGCGACCAAGTCGTCGGCTTCTGTGCCTATCAACCTGTGCATTATGATCTTCCTTAACTGCTGCATGTGGGTGGCTACGTCTATTGTGGACGACGACATGTTCGTGTTGATCCCGAGCGTTATCGGTCTGGTGTTCAGCGGCGTGCAGCTCCCGCTCTACTTCATCTACCGCCAAAATACCCCCTACATGGACTTGGATGCCCAATTGGAAGAAGGATACGGCATAAGGAACGTCGACAGCTTCAAGGAAGAGCTTAACCTGGAGGGCGAGTTACCTACGACCTACCGAACTGTGCGTCCGTCTCGCGTGGCGCGGTTCACGACCTACACGTACCAGCGAGCCGAAGGAACTCCACTCACTGTGGGAAGCATGCCTTCATTCTCAGCTACAGAGGATAGTCCGCATGTGTTCAGCGAGCGTACTCCGATCATGACCCCGGATTCGCTGCGATTCTCATGGGATGGCGACGACTTCAGCGACCTCGAGATGCAACCGCTTATCCTAACACCCATTGCGGCTTAATGTGCTGCATAACACACAATTAAAAATGCTGCGTAACTAGCAGGTCTAGCGACGATTTCAACCAAAGCAAATGTGTAAACAAATGCAAAATTCTCCATCTTTTAGTCTTCTTCATCGTGGGATTGCAGTGCAATCATCTTGACCTGTGCAATTTGCCTGTTCTTCCCATCTCTTAGGTTACGCAACATAAGTCGGTTGCAAACAGCTTTTGCGTCTTTTCATCCCCACTCTTCAATTTTCCAGACAAGGGGATTGCGTCTTGGTACCGGTATTACTACGTAGTATAAGCGAAAATGACTGGCACAGCAGAGATTGTGGTCCGGTCGATGGCAGCGTGTTCGGGCGCCGTCATGATCCTGAGCCCGTCCATCTTGATCTATCGCGTCTCCCAGCAGAAGGATGTGGGGGTGGCGTCTGTGATCCCTCTCGTGACTTTGTTCTCCAATTGCCACATTTGGGCACTTTACGGCTACATGATCGAGAATTGGTTCCCAATTTTCTGGATTTACTTCTTCGGAGACTTCGTGGCGCTGGCTTTCCTCTCTGCTTATTGGAAGCATTCAAGACAGCGACGCTACGTGAACCGAGTGCTGTTAATTATGGCTTGTATCGTGACTGTCGTCACTGTCTACGCCATTGTCGGAGGATTGGGTCATACGGGCCAGTCAAGAGACGGGATGGGCTCTGTTATGGGTATCTTTGCGGATATCTCGGCTATCTGTATGTACGGAGCCCCCATGGAGAAGCTTCTTCAAGTGCTCAAGTACAGATACGCCGCCTTCATTAACGCGCACATGGTCATCGCGGGACTTACGAATAATTGTCTGTGGTTCACGTATGGTATCCTGTCCGACAACTGGTTTATTATCTCGCCCAATATCGTCTTCATCTCACTCAATACCTTCACCTTGGTACTCTGTGTCGTGTTTGATCCCAAGACACACCCAATTTCCGCGGGATTCCACGCCCAAGTAGACGGTGAGAGCGACGAATCGCCAGCGCTAACAGCGTCGAAGATCAGTCTGAGCTGTAAGGGAGACAACATGATGCCTAGTCCAGCCTTTGAGGCCATGCATTCGCCGCTGGACTCGATTCGTGCGTCGAAGTAAACGAAAATTAAAACTGAAGTCGATTTACAGTCCTTAAAGCTTAATGTATAGCTGGCTATTGAGCCAAGTTGAGAAGAGTCGGTATGAATTATAAAAAGAGAGTGGGAATTCCTAGAGACGTTAAAGTTGAATTCGACTTTTGCAGGGTGCAAGTCTTTTCAGGGAGAAGAGCAAAACTGAAGGCTTTGTAATATTTCGTCGCTTTGAAAACGCTTCGTTGTACATGTAATTCCTTTTCCCCTCCACTTTTCCAATGGTCTCGATTACGTAAGCTCTAGCAATCCAAAAGTCCAGTTAGTGTTACCACGTTCCATTCAATCTTCAATTCACCGCAACACGGAATACACATGATACCGCGGTTCTTCAAAAACGATAGCAGCCTGCTCTGCGATTGTGATTTTGTGCAGTCCTGTCATTTTGATCGATTGAATTTTAACGCGAAAGGATGGTGGGGAGGCATCGGTGGGTCTC